AGTTGCTTCTCGACTTTGTAAAGACTGGGTCAGTCAAGAACCGTTTTTCTAGAATCTAAACACAAATAAAGTATTTTCTTGGCAGTGGATACCATCGTTTTCTGGCTGTAAAATCTAAGGACATGTTTGCTGTTGCAACATTATTTTTAATGAGCTGTTATTGGCCTGTCCTGCAGTTAGTATTGCCAACAGTAAAAGGCATCACTATGTTTGCAGGTAACACAAGGTACAACATATTTTGACCCCGAATTTCTGTTTATTTTTCATTTACAACACATGCCCTCGTTTTTATTCCAAACCAGAGGGAAATAAAGAGAGATCTATCTTCACTGAGGTCCAGGTTAAAATTTTGCCGTAAATACTCATGCCAGTTTATTTGGGGTAGTTTCCCATCAATAGAAAACGATACTGGACGTTTCAGCCACAGTAGAATCGATTGCGTCGATTGGGTTTGAGGAACCTAGCACAGCCCTGGGAGAGGCGATGGGAACGCGTGGAGGCGCTCCCCTGCGGACGCTGCCTGCGGTGTGCTTCCCGCAGTCTTCACCGTCTCCGGGGTCCTCATCTCTCCCTTCTGGCTCCCCAGCTTCAAACGCGCCTTGCCAGGAGTTGGGCGTGCAGCCCCCATGCTCTAAGGCAGGGAGCCGCAGGGCTGGCGAGAGGCGCCCAAGGACCTGCCTCCGCCGGGCAGACTCGCTCCTCCGCGACGCTCCCGGCGCCCCGCGCCTGGTCTGGCTGGCCGCCCACCATCAGCGCGGTGGCCCAGCGCCCTGCAGGCGCACGGGGACGTCTAGCGCTGCGGTTCCATGCGGCGGCGGGGACAGTGGCGGGAAACCTAGAGAGGCCACCCTTGAGGTGCTGGGCGCAGGTGGGCAGAAAAGGCCTCGGCCTCTGGAAACAAGGTTCTTTCGGTTGTCGCTGCCGCAGGCGGGTGAGCTCCGTTTCCCGGCACCGGACACACCAGGACCGCGGCCACAGCCGAGCCGCCCCGGGAGCCACAGTTCCTCCAGGCCTGCGGAGACCGCGCGGTTCCGGATCTGGAAGCCGCCGTTCCTGGGGCTGGATGGCCTCCCGGGGCTGCCGTCTCGCGCGCACGGCGCGGGCTCTCCCAGCTGGACACCGCGATCGGCCAGCGGCCGCAGCTAAATTCTAAGTCACTCCCGTCTTCCCTCCCCTCACTCCCGGAGCCCACCAAACCCCAGGACGGCTGCCGAGTGCCCAGGGATCTCCCGCCTGGAAGCCCGACGCTCCCGAAGGAACGGCGGTCTGGGAACGGAACGCGAGGCTGCAGTCCTGGGCGCGGAAACGCCAGCTGTCTGAGCTCGCGGCGGCCGCTCCGCTCGATTTCGCAAACTAGATAAGCCCAGGTCCTCGCCCCTTCCGCCCCGCATTCTTCCCGGTTCGCAGGGCGTTTCAAGCCGCGTCAGGTACCGAGCGGCCCTGGTCGCGAACAAAGCCGCCTCTGTCTCCGCCGCCTCCCGGGTTATAGGGATGTGCGGGCAGGTCGGACTCGGGGAGCGCAGAGGCAGCCAGAGAGCCAGGCAGGGAAGAGTTTCGGAGACACCTGCTCTGGGAGAAACCGTCCCAAGTTACACACGCTGGCAACGCACAAACGCTTCGCTTTTCTTTTTAATTCAATTTCACGGCAACATTAAGTGTAACAATATTTTGTTTCCTTTTCTCTTTTTCTTAAAAAGGGACTGAACCCGGGCAGAGATGGGGAGATGGGGGTGGGGGCGGGACAAGCTATCGCAGAACAACAGGTGTAGCTGACAGAAAGAAAACAGATCAGGTGGCGGAACAAGAAGCCCTGCGGAGACGAGTGTGAATTTTACATGAAATCTGTACATTTATCAAATAAGTTAAAATTCTCCTAAATTGATTGTCCTTCACTTAAAGCGCTCCAGTATCCTACCTTACTCCTTTGAGCATCGCTACCTATCCTTGTTTCCTTCCTTTCCCCCTTCCTCCTTCTTAAATTTCTCTTCCTCAACGAATGACTGGCATTATACAGTGGAAACGGCTGCTTCTCTCAGTAGAGAAAGAGCAGGGCTCGCAGGAAAATTTGTACAATATTGCACAGTCAGAAGTACGACAGTTACTGCGGAACAAAAAGGTAGGGGATAAAAGATACAAGGGTTTTTTTTTTTTTTTAAATATTGAAATCACTCTCTCAAAATAGGGGACAAAGAATAATAGTAATATTATTAATAATTTACCAACAAATGAAATTCCCAAAGTAAATGCTAATAAATAAGACAACTCACACTGGGCCAGATGTGGAGCTGTTTCAATCATCAGAAGTCTGATTCTAGGCTGTTTTGTTTTTTCCCTTTAAACACTTAGAGAATTCTCCCATCACAAAGCAGGACTGATGAAGAGGTCAAATGCCACAGACCTTTGCCAGAGAGAAAAGCGGCCTGAGTTGGGGTTCTTCTGAGGAGATGCTCAGATTCTGAAAACTGCGGAGGATAACTGATTGGGGGTGGAGAGGAAGAACCACACCCAGAAATCCAGAAATGAGAGCACTGCAGTGTGAATTCTCTCTACCTTTGCGTCCCCTTCTGAAAACGGTTCTATGCAAACTGAATAAACTAGAGGGATTCAGGTTTTTGCCCTTATTTTCCTTCTATAAAAATAAAACCAAAAAAGCCACAGTGCAATGCAAATTTGGCGGGAGGGTTGCTCATATTACAAAAGCTTTCAGCCGAAATATCTGGCCCGGGAATTTTCTCTTTTTCCTGCCCTCTCTGAATATAAACCAAAAGTAAGAGGGAAAGCGCCTCAAATCCATTAGGGGTGAATTGCACGAAAACGCATTGCAAATACTTACAAAACGCTACCGATTGGGGGAGGGGAGGCCGGGGCAGCGCTCCGAAGCCCCGGTTCCCGAAGGCCGCTGGACGTCTCGGCGCCCTCGGCCGGGCCCAGTCTCCTCCAGGGTCTGGGAAGGGGGCGGAGCGCTCCCACCCCCTCCCCTCTCGGGCCTCAGACCGGCCGTAGCAGCGGCACGGACGAGACTACTGGGTGCGAGTAGTAGACGGGGTGCGGGAAGGTGAGCAGCGGCTGGCTGACGGGCACCGGGGCCCCCGCGGCCGCGGCCGCCGCGCCCTCGGCCGCCGAGTTCTCGTGGTAGAGGATGGGCACCCGCACGATGCGCTGCGCCGCCGCGTGGCTCAGGTTGGCCGCCTCCAGCTCCGCCGCCAGCTGCCGCTTCCACTTGTTGCGGCGGTTCTGGAACCAGATCTTGACCTGCGTCTCGGTGAGGTGCAGCGACGCTGCTAGACCCGCGCGCTCGGAGCTGCTCAGGTAGCGCTTCATGTCGAAGGTGGACTCGAGCTGGAAGACCTGGCTGCGCGAGAAGACGGTGCGCGTCTTCTTCTTGCGGCACGCGGGCTTCTTCTCCGGGCTCTCGGCGCCCTTCTTCCAGTCCTCCGCGCCCGGCGCCGCCGCCGCCGCCCCTACGCTCGCCCCCGCCGCGCCCGGCGCCGCCTCGCCCTCCTTCTTGCCTTCTTCCGAGTCGCTCTCCTCCAGAATGATCTCGTCCGGGCTCTTGGAGTCCAGCTCCTTGTGGTCGGGGTCGGCCTTGAGCAGCGGCTCGGGGGAGTCGCGGTCGGTGCCCGAGGCGGGGGAGGAGTCTCGTAGGAGGGCCTTCTCCGAGGCTGCGGAGAGAGAGACAGACGGACGCGTACACACACACGCGCACACACACACACACACGCGCACACACACACGGACACACACACGGACACACGGGCACAGCCTTCAGCGAGGCCGGAGCCTGGGGCGGTAGGCTTGATCCACGCCCGCCTCCGGGCCCCAGGCCTCGCGGCCTCACCATTCCCGCCGGCCTCCTCCCGCTCGACTGAGCTGGAATAGGGGCGCCGAGTCCTGGGATCCCCCTCCTCCCAAGGACAGGAGACAGAGACCCAGATGGCGGCAGAGAGGCCGCTTCCTATTTTTCCGCTCAGCATCCCCACCGGGAGCCCACGGAGAGATTCGCCTCTGGCTCGCACCCGCCCGGGTCACTTCCTCTAGAGCTAGGCCAAGTGCCCAGTCCCACCCGCCAGAAGCACTCCCACTTGTACCCGAGGCCACTGTCCCCGGGAAGCGCCGCGCCCCGGGCTCCAAGTCCGCTTTTCTCACCAAGTGGGATTGGATCCCCGGGCAGCGCAACGGCGCGCGCGCGGCCGGGAGACGCAAGCCAGGGCCCGGACGAAGTTGGCCCAGCTGCGGGCTGGAGGTCCCAGGGCTGCAGTGGGAGGCAGCGCGGGGCGGGGATGGGGCACGTGCGCGGGGAGAACAACGAAAGTTCAAAGAGAGGTCGGTACCTTCAGGTCGCGGGAGGTGGCCACCTGCGGGAGTCAGGGTGTAGGGGTACCACCAGGCCGAGGAGCGCTCCAGGTAGTGCGCGGGCAGGGCAAACCTCTGCGCCGGGATCTCAAAGCGGGGAAAAGCCAGGTCGCCCACCTGCGAGAGCGCGAAGCCCGCGGCGCCCTCCAGGGCCCCCTTGGCCGCGGCGGCAGCGGCGGCGGCAGCGGCGG